TGTCTATTGATCTATTAATTTCCTCATATAGTCTTGTTTGTATGTGAGTATTCACCTTCTCCAAATAGTCTGATTTGTCTAATATTACTGTTGCATTTCCTTTGTCTGACTTTATGATTACTATATCCTTGTTATTAGTGATGGTGATGGATTGGTAAAATGTTTAAATAATAGAACACAAAAACTAAGTAGTACCAAGGAAATTCTAAGATAGGAAGTGAGGCATATAAGAGAAGCTTTAAAGATTGATAATTTTCCTGATAAATTAGTCAGAAAGTATATAGGGAAATTTAAAAATAAAATAAACAATGATAGTAGTGATAATAATAATAATAATAGTAGCAATGATAATGACGGCATGCATGTCAAAAATGCGCAAGACAACACCAACAATAAGGAATCTAAATCATCAGTAGTAATTCCATACAAGGAAGGAACCTAGGAAACCTTACGCAGAAGTCTTAACAAGGTAGGAATAAAAGTGGCTGGCATTCAAATCCCCCACAAACTCAATTAGAAAGAAGCTTTGTTGGTTAAAGCATCCTGCCTGTGGAGCCTTTAAAACAAAACAATTTAGTTTATCTAATACCTTGCCTGTGATGATTGTCAGGTCAAATACATAGGTCAAACTAGTAGAACAGGGGAAGTCAGTCAGACTAGCCGAACATAAAAACCTAGTAAAATCTAGATTGATTGATCCAAATAAGATAAAAAATCTAGAGAATAGTTCAGCTATAGCACTCACTAAATGCAATTACACACAACCATACAATAGGATGGATGGGATAAGATGACAGTTTTAAAATCTAATGTCACAGGGTGGAGGGAGCAGGATTGATAACAGAAGCTTTGTTTATCAAATCAACTGGGAGAGAAATAGAAACTTAATCGGAAATTCAATACCTAGGTGTCATTCTATTTGCTGATCTCTCCTGGTCGTCTCATATCTTAGCAATTTCTAAGAAAATATTCCGTCTTCCCTTCTACATTAAGAAGTTAAAACATTCTGGTATAACCCAACCCTTACTCCTACAATTCGTTAATTCTCGCATCCTGCCTATTATTCTCTATTGTTCCCCCTTAGTTTTTCCTGGGCTACTGAAGAAAGACTATAACATTTTACGCAGGATGTTAAATGTTGTCAGCAGGGTAAGCAACGTGCCACTTAACCAGCTTGCTAATACTCTGGTTGACAGGCACATGGACCCATGTGAAAAATGGGCCAAATCCATTTTATCTAACTCACACCACCCTCTTCACTCACAACTCTCCCCTTGCATCTCATCAGGTAAAACAAGAAGCCAATATAGAAAACTATATGCTCGCACCAGCAAGTACAAAAACTCAACCATACCCTACTTAGCTCGTGTTCTGTGTGATAAAGAAAGCATTAGGCGTGACACCTATAATTCATTAAATAGTCAGTAGTACAACTGGATCTCATCTTTCCAACCCACTTCATCAATAGGTACAACATTTCCTTTCTTTCTGTTCCTTTTCTCTCTCTTCTTTTTCCGTTATGTACTGCTTTGTCTCTTTCTCTCGCTTACGCCAGTTAATAAGGCAGCTCCCACTTTTCTAACACCTTCAAACACTGTTTCAGCTTTACCTTTGCTACTGACATGCCAATGTATTGTTGTAATAATGAACTGTTGGTTTCCTCAATCTATGTAGAATTCTATTTATTGATAATGTACTAACTGGATGCAATACTGTAGTAAAAATGCTGAGAATTCCATTCTGTATCACAAGTACTGTTTTGGAATAAAGCAAATTATTATTATTAATATGTGTAATAGGAATGACTCAGCACCTGTCCCAGATATCTAGAACATGCTACTACCCCAACGACGACACATAGGCGAGAACAAAGAAAACTATGAAACTCAAGTTTCGAAGTCGTGTGATTATAATTGATATGATTATGAACAATAAATTTTGTTCAAAACCTTGTCATCCAGTAAATAATACTGTTTCACTCTGTGTGTGATACATCTAATAAACCATTTAATATGGAATTACTTAGTACCACAGTGCCCAAGTTTTACACATATATTAATATGATCTTGTTCTTCGTTTGTTCATACTTACCATTGTCTTACGGTAACCCACTTAGTGCGGTCCTAAGCTCTAAGGTGTTTGAAAGCAATCGGCAGGAAGCCTTGAACCTAGGTTTCGTGCCTTCTGGCACTCATCAGTAAGATGTATGCGCAGCCTTGTAGGAATTTATGTGAGATTTGAACCCAAATCACCAAGTGCTGCAGTTACAGACGCTACTGGTGAGCCATGTGATCTCACGATTGTCCTCCTGTAGGACCGTAATATATATTTCAGCCGGACCGATAGGATTTAGTCTGTGTCAAACGAAGGATTAGATGCATGCGTGACATTACTACTTAGTTTCCAATCAAAATATACATTCATAACCAAGGTTGTATAGAAGGAATTTTCTGGTAATTATGCTGCCAGTTTACCACCCTATCACTATGCCTACTGACTTATGGATTCTACATATTCCACCCTTTATATTAGCATAAAGAATAATTACATTGAGAATAAAGGGGTATTCAATGAATCCCCGAGTTGGTAAAACAATGTTTACATCTGAGTCATTGAAGACAATTTTGACCCATGCTACCAACAATCTCCAGTTTTTGATTCTTAGAGTCTCAATGACCCCAAGTGGATACTCTCCGCCTGCCTACCTGGCTAAAACCAGCAGCCAAAGTCTTCGTGGATTCATGCCATACCATCCCTGACTACTTCATAACCTAGTGCTATGTCATCTAACACTGTTCGATTTGGAAGACAATAGCTTGACATACATAACAGGTGTCCTATCCATTTCAATCTATGTAACTCCGCAGACTGTACGCTAAACCTCATCAGTACTAACCATATTAGACCACTGATGTTATTAGATGGATAGTGGTAATTGGCCACAGGAAAGCTTGGACTAAGGTTTCGTCTCTGTTGACAGTCTTCAGCAAAACGTATCTGCAATGTTGACAGAGATTCAAACCCGTGTCGCACAGTGCTGCAGCCAGAAACGTTACCAGAGCCACATAGTGACATGGTGGTCATATTGTAATCTTAACTAATAGGATTCAGTCTGCTGTAAGCAAAGCACTAGGCACCTGACACCAGTTAGTGTCCAGTTATTTTGCACTATGTAATAATACTAAAGATAGAAGGCGAACATCTAGGGTCAGAGACTTCTAACCTCTTCATATATATTTCAATGTATCTGTTAAACATTTGGTATCTTTCGATGTTACCTCCCTCTTCACAAATGTGCCAGTCATTGAGACCATCGATTTCATATGTAAAGAAGCTGAAGACATACCCATTCCAACGTCGGAATTGAGGAAATTGCCACTTTTATGTACTAAAAATGTCCAATTCCAATTTGACGGGCGTTTATTCCGTCAATTTGATGGTGTCGCAATGGGAAGCCCTTTGGGAGCACTTTTCGCTGACTTATTCTTGTCACGCCTAGAAACCGGTACCTTGTAGCAACATATACAAGAAACGGATCTATACCTAAGATATATTGATGACATTTTTATTGCTTGTGGAAGCAGATCAAAGGCCGAAGACATGCTGAAAACATTCAACTAATGCCAATTTCACAGTAGAACACGAGGAAAACGATACTATCAAATTCCTAGACGTTTTTCTGGCGAAAATGAATGATGGCACAATCGAAAGATCTATATTTAGAAAGTCTTCATGGACAGGACAGTACATGCATTTCAAGAGTTTTGTTCCAATCCAGTACAAAAAGAACTTAGTCAGAACACTGTTCAATAGAGTACGAAAAATTTGTTCTGACAGTACTGTTGAGCATGAAATAAAATCCCTGAAGGATATCTTATCTAAGAATGGATATCCTGAGAAGTTCATTAATAAATACTCTAAAGAAAACAGCCCTTGCAAAACAATCCAAACAGTTCCGAAGAAACCTGTCTATATCAGTTTGCCGTTCAAAGGAGATGATGTACAGGAAGTAGTCAAACGAAGACTCGACAAAGCCATCAAGAGAACTTATTATGCTGCAAAATTCGTTTTCCTTAACACCACTAAGCGAGTGCTTCAACAATCTGGGAAAGACCAGTCACCAATCCTCGACACTTCAAACTGCGTATATCAATTTGAGTGTGTTTGTGGAAGCAAATACATAGGTCATAAGGAAAGGCGACTGTATACTCGCATGATGGAGCATTTGACAAAATGGTTGAAAACAGTTGAGTGCAAAGTGCCAAAATCCTCAATAATAAGGCATCTTGTGGATTACGGACATGATATCGACGCGGTCAAGTCATTCACTATTGTCAGCAGACAAAGAAACAAGAAGATGCTTGCAATTGCAGAGGCTTGTGCAATTCGAGTTTACAAACCAGGTCTCTGTGTACAAAAGGAGATGGTCGTGACTCTGAATCTACCATGGTAATACGTTTTACTTATAATTCTACCTCATTATTATTATTTTATTATTCTTGATTCATTTAAAACTATCCTTTATCAGTAGCATTATCTTAACTCACTTCAACACTATTATTATCATTATTGTTATTATAACTATTACTATTGACATCCCTCTGGTTGCAATTCTTGTTAAATTCTCTAATGTCTAATTGTTTATCTAAGTGATGTAATTGAAGCGTAATGCAATTCATCTTAATTTTGATCTCTCATACTCCCTCTCCCCTTATCTAATTGAACATGACCTGGAAAACCTTCGCACCTGTCTTCCTGCATGACTAATTCAATGTAGTTTGTTTACTTATCAGTCCTATATCTCCCAATGTAATTTGAAAAGTATATATATATATTCGTGTATGTAGAGTATTCAGCAGCTGACAAGTTCTACCGAAATTTGATGAATTCATTAAATCCTGCTTTATTAACCTTTATTGCTTGTCATATATTTCACTTTCAACAGGCATGTTCCACAACCTGAATTTCTTTTATTTTTTTCTACAAAATCTTGACTCTAGGCAGTTTATACAATTCTTGACGTCCTTTACAAATTAACCGGTGATCAACTACTGTCAACTGGAGGATCAAATAATAATAATTTCTCAGTTAATCTTGGCTTACGTATACAATTCACACGTGGTACAAAAAACGGGTATTTAATGGGTATTGGATTAGAAGATGATAATGAATTACAACACTCAGATCGTCAACAGTTACTCCTGGCGCATATCACATTCATGGGTTTAACTTCACCTGGACCGAACACACTGTGGAATGATGCTGCTAGTCAAATTACAATGACAATGTTAACTAAAATACCAACATGTATGCCACAATGGAAAACCGAGTGGCATACTAAAGAGGTAAGAGATAATATTGATTGATTAAGTTACAATCAGGCGGCCAGTGAGTAGTTTGAGTGACTGTGTGACTGTGTATTCTCTCTGCTAAAATGTGTGATATTGTAATAGCAGAAGATAAGACGTGGAAGCCAGGGTATATTTTCAAGTGATCAAAGAGCTATTTATATCTGACTGACAGACTGACTGACTGGTTTCAACATAGAACTTTGCACTGATATGCAGCAGTTCGAGTTGCCACACTTCACTCCACGTAGCAAACAAAGCAAAAGAAGAAAGTAAAAAGAATTGCAAAGTAGAGACAGTAAACAGAGATATGAGGCAAAAAGAATAGTTGTATCGAAGTTCAATATAGTTTTATTGGGTATTGCAAGTCATAAGGAGGGGATACATCTTCACTATTGACAACGATTTCAAGCCATATCATCAATTGTCTCCAGTCATTGGTTTTCACCGTCCTGAGAACGCCAGCCAGGAAGTCTACATCTTCCTTTGTAGCTTAAACTAACTGTTGTGGATTTCATTGACTGATGGGGCCGTGTTTTGGTTTGACCACCACTGGCTTTTCCCCATCATGATCCAAATCAGTCAGCTAAGATTGACCGTTCAGGAAGGCGACGATTATTGGTGCATGAGTAACACATGTCCTAACCATCTCAGTCCATATAACTTCACATCCTTGTCCGCTGATTTCCCCTCCTTACCTAGGAGTCAACGCCTAACCTCAATATTGCTCACCCTATTATACCACTTCACACGGGAGAAAGAACCTCAGAAACCTATGATCAAAGACAACTAGTCGGCCTTTTCATGTCTTCCACTCTCAATGGCCAGGTCTCACAGCTATAAAGGAGGACAGAGTGGACTGTTGAGGAGTACACACGCACTTTGATCGACAGCCAGGCGGATATCACGTCTACTAACTTAGCCGGTGATGGCGTAGGTTGGCAGGCAAATACCAAATGAGCCCTCTGTATCCATGTTGAGAAATCACCAGAGATCAGTCCGTTGACGTTGGGGTCGATGCAACTTACCAAATAGTTGAAGTGGTCAAAACGCTCCACCAGCCACGTCAATCCCTATTTCTAAGCTAGGAGTGAGTCAATGTAGTCCAGTCCTGTAGCGTCATTTTATATTTGGCGGGAGCGAATTGCATGCCGAACATTCGAAGATTGCAGCTTAAGATGTTCAGAAGACTCTGAACACCTATTTATATCTATATAGTTTATATTCTTTAACGAATCTCACTGAGCGTGTGATTTTGGTTTACATAAAACGACATGAAATAGAAAGTTCAAATACACATATATAGTATTCTGTTATTAATGCAGTATCGAACTGTGGGAAATAGTATTCAGACGTCAACACCAACAAATACAATATGATTCTTACTGTGAGCATAATATTCTGTTAGAGTCTGTTGTCTGTATCACACCACCACGATATGACTGGTCGATTGAATGGACAAATGAGTTTCACCGCAAAACTTTCCGCAAAAGTGTAGCAGTTCAAATTGTCAAGGGCAGAGGAAAGACATTAAATGAGCAGAAAGGTACACGAGAAAGAATAATTACTTGGAAAGACATGAGAACTTAATAGGTCATCAAGAAAATGAAAGACAAATTCACCAGTGAATAAAATTCTCTTTATCGACGAAATCATCTTCAGAGGCTGTACAGTTGTACTTATATTTACCAAAAATGTATAGTAGTCTATTACGGAGTAATACTAGAGGGTGACATAATTGATATGGCTACTCGCAAGTGGCTTTAGAAGTAAAAATAAAAGTTGTGAATTACGTAGTACTCAACGGCACAAAGTTAGAAATTTGATAAAGTAAAAGTTGCTATTGAGTGAGAAGAAAGGCGGTAACTGAGTGTCAATTTAACAAGTGTGAAGTGGGTGTAAAAATGTACAAAAGGAACATATGAGAGTGATAATAGTGAATTAATTATTCAAGCAAAAGCAAACTAAAATTAAAATTGAAAATTAATCAAATTTTTTACAGGTAACGACTGGTGAAGAGGTTAAGACCAAGGTAGACTAACAGACGGGACAAACGTTTTCTGTATACAGAGTTCAGAGTTGTATTGACGAATTGCCAGCGCCTCCACCATACACAAATGCCCTTTGTACCATTTGGCCTCACCTTGTAGATAATCTTGAAAGAACACTCTGGTGGAGCTACGTGGTTTGAGTTCACCAAGTGCCTGGTAATTGAGCTAGTAACTGTCTTGCATTGTCCTTTTGCTAACCATACCGGATAATGTTCAGAGATGCGTTTGGAAAGTGTGCGCTTTGTGCGGCCGATAAAGCTAGCTCCACACGAGCAGGTGAATTTACAAATACATATTGAAGTGGCCAGCCCAATGTGGCAGTTTATCCTTCACAAATCCATTGATCGTTTGTCGGCTGTAGAAACTGATCCATAGCTAAGCCATAAAGAAGGTTTTCCTCAGTGATCTGCATTATCGATTCTTCAGGATTTCAGATGCGGTATCACCTTTAGACTCAACGCTCATAAGTAGCAGTTTTTTCGGCACCGTCTGGGTTCTTTCAGACTTTTCCCTTAACTTCATGCTTTTCTCAATAAATCTTGGAGGATATCCATTCTCTATGAAGATTTGTCTGAGTCGCTTCAGTTCCCCATCGATTGAATCACTGGAACATATCCTTCTTATTTTTGAAGAGAAAGAATGGATCAGGTTTCTCTTTATTCTCAAAGGGACCCAACTGTGGAAATTCGTGTACTGACCATTCCATGTTGGTTTCCTGTACATAGATCTTTGAAGAGAATCATTAGAAAAACATCCAAAAAATGGAATTCCGAGTTCATCCATGACTGCGACTTGAACTGGATGGCATGATGGCAGCTGTTGAACTCTTTAGTTATCAATTCAATGTCAGTATTCTCGTCACATATGATAAAAGTATCATCCATGTCTCTTTGGTACAAATGGAAACTATCGGTAGTAGGTCGTAATACACTATTTTGTAGACTTGACAAGAAGCAGTCTACAAGTAAAGGACCCAATGGTGACCCCATTTCCACTCCATCTCTTTGTCTATAAAGCGTGTTGTTGAACTTGAATTGGACATTAAAAGTTCACCTCAGTAGTAGTTCCTTTAAATAGTGGATCGGAACATCCATGTCTACATTATTATCCTCAATGAATTTGCATACAAAGACAATAGGTTCAACGAGAGGAACATTAGTTAGTGAAAAGGGATGTAACATCTATGGATATTATTTTCTTCCCGGATACTTAATGGGTCTTGAAGATTACAAAGTGTGAATGCATCTGTACCAATAGCAACGATTTTCAGTCACATTACCAACAGTATGCAGTCATTTGTTCTTAGAATCTCCAAGTCCCCAATCAACTCGTATTTTAGTCGTCTCATACGACGTAGCTTCAAAACCCCATAAACTGACTTACCCTCCCTGACTAAGAGTCTGCGCTGAACCTCAGTATTACTTCCCCTGTTATGCTACTTAACACGAGAAGAAGAAGAAGAACCCAAACATCTGACCTTTTCATACACTTTGCTTTCAACAGCCACGTCTGACAGCGATAACGGAGGATATAGTGAACTGGTCTGTCTGTTTTCGACATAAAACTTTGCACCGGTGTGCAGCAGTTCAAGTCGCCACACTCCATGAAGCACATAAAGGAAGAGAAGAAAGTAGAAGAAATGCCAAATGGAGACAGTAAACAGAGGTGTGAGACAAAGGAGTAGTAATAACGAAGAACAATATAGTTTCATTGGAAATCATAAGTTACAAGGAGTGGATGCATCTGCAACAGCCATTTAAAACGATCACTTTGAGCCATATCACCAGTTGTCTCCAGACTTCATTGTTGCTTGCCGTCTCAAGGATCCCAACCAGTCAGGAAGTCTACATCTTCCTACGTGGCTGTCTTAAACGAACTGTTGTGGATTTCATTGACTGGTGTCATGTTTTGGTTTGACCACCACTAGCTAACTGTTTTCCAACATGACCTTATGTCAGCTCACGTTGCCCGTCAAGGAAGGTGATGGCTATTGGTGCGTGCATAACACATGTCCTAACAATCTAAATCGATGCAGCTACTTTACAGCCTCGTCGATTGATTTTCCCTCCTTACCTAGCACTCGACCGATGCCTCAACTCAATATTGCTCGCCCTATTATACCACTTCACACGGGAGATAGAACGCAGGCATCTATGATGAAAGACAGCTAGCCAGGCTTTTCATGTCTTCCACTCTCAATGGCCAGATCTCACGGCCACAAAGGAAGGAGAAGTGGACTGCTGTGCAGTGCGTAAACTGGCATATGCGAAATTAGCCTTCTGTATCCGTGCTGAGATTTTGTCAGAGATCAACCCGTTGGCTCTGACTGATGCAAATTCTCAAATAAGTGAAGCGGTCAACGAGCTCTACCACTTCACTCCCTATTTCTAAACTAGGAGTCAGTGTAGTTCAGTCCCGTGGCATCATGCTACATATGACAATAGAGAATCGTATGCAAAGCATTCGAAGATTTCTGCTTAGGATGTTCAGAAGACTTGGCATTTTGTCAAAGTCTTCCCCTAGAAGGACAATATCGTCCAAATACTCCGAATTCACAAAATTGTTCCCCAGTAAGAAGTCAATCCCTAAAACAGTAAATTCATTTAGGGTCCATTCCATTAGTACATCAATGATAATAATAAACAAAGATGAGGACATCTGGGATTTTTGAAGAATACCTGAATACCTCGCCATTGTGGAGTACATTGTTCTATGATTGGAGCTTTCATAAAGACTGAATTCCAACTACTTGATAATAGGTAAGATAAGTTTTTGTAATTATATTCTTCAGGATTATATCTCCTGTGTGATACTTACCTGAGCTGACATTACACTATCACACTGGACAACACTGTTTTGTGTAACTGTATAAACAAATAGGTGAATTTTGATTGTACACTAGTAACTAGTGTGATGTGTCTAGTCCTTTCTTTGGTGCAGACTGAA